CCATTTATTTTCGTGCAAGCAGCAGAACATGGGTCTAGCAGTACAAAAAGGGGGGCCCTCTAACTTTTCTTCTGTTTTAATAAGTGTGTTTGTATGTGTGATGGTCTACTTTAGCTTGAATACCTACTGCTAATATTTGTCGCTTGTACTTACGTGTTAAATTAATTGGAGTCGATGATTGGAGTAGAGATGTGTCTTTTTTGTACATGCATTTACGATTACGTTTTCCACTTGCAATTATGACCTCGTGCGTTTTGTTTTAAGAATTTGTGTAACTGCAGTTGATTCGATTACCTGATTTTTATCGTATAATTTGTGATGTTTTATTTGCGTATTTTCTCTTGCATTTTGCTGCCGTAGTTTATTTATTTCATGTATTTGTGTGGGCTCTGCCGAGGGTTTTGTCCAGAAGCCGGTTTTTTTCCGAAGAAGATTTCCCTGGTATCGTCTTGTTGTGTGCATAATAAATTTATTTGCTCTGGTCATTTCTTACGCAGAACAGATCACAGTGTTGCATTGGGATACCCCCTAGGATCATTTCAAATTCTAAAAGATTCGCTACTAAATTTTGTGAAATCATTTCTAGAGGCCCTGCAAATATAAATTCCGCACGATTTTTAAAAATTTTGGTGTAAATTTGTGATGTAAAAATTATTTCCCCTCTACAAATTTCACTTCAACTGGTTTGAAGGCATGCAGTTTCCGCCACCAGTAAAAAGCGTTCTGTTTGCGGAAGGAGAAGTAGAAGGAGAAAAAGAGGAAGCAGGTATTAACAGAATTAATAAATACACAATAATTATATATTTATTTGGCATATCTTCATTGTTTCTATCAATCTTATACTTTAATGACTACATTACTATTCATTATCAGAGACTTGATTACAAGTCTATGTACATTAGTTATATTACCTATAAGTGCTAATCTGTACATACTACAATGATTCATAATTTATAAACAACTTTTTTTTTACAGAAATGGACAGTTTTGAGATGGAAATGAATGACCCTAATAATATGTTTGAGGAAGATTGGAGCGAACCTCAAGAATGAGACGCGAATTGGCTACGGCTAGCCAAGGGGAGCAGCTTTTCCAGTGACAAAACGTATATAATGTTAGCTGACAGGTATGGACAAGCCACACCAAAAAAATAAGGCAGTGGTGGATAAAATGCTCTTGTCTTCGGAAAGAACGATATATATACACATATGATATTTAATTGTATAATAGTACATTAAGAAACAAGTGTATAATCAAGTCTTTAAAGCACGTGCGACGAGTTTAAGGGCACGACACGCAGCGGAGTGCCTTTAAACGTTTCAAGTGCTTTAAGTACCAATTGTATACGCGTTTCTTATAGTATTTTATATTATACCTGCAATATAATTGAAAAATAAGGGAAATAAAATAAAATCATATTGAAGTTATACTCGAATACATTTCTAATTAAGTGGGCTGATTATTTGTCATTCCATGATTGACATGGAAATGCCACTTGGCGTTCGCGTATAATAAAAATCATCGTCTTTTAAATAAAATGACTTCGGTTGAAGAAGACAAATTCAGTGGCTTATTTTTGTAGCAGAAGAACCTGTAAAATCCAAATGCAAAAGCCTATTATAAGGAATAAATGAAAAACTGTTGGCGTGGATTAATAGGAAGCATTTTTCAAACAAGGCATCGTTCGTGCTGTCATATATGAAGGAAATGTCAAAAGTAGGTATTTAAATCTTCTGCTCTTCGGTGCATTCATTCAAAACTTCAATCAATATTGCGATTAGAAAGTGGAACAGATTTGGCAGCATACCTACTCTACTCTAAACCACGTGCGAATAAAAACTCGTACTCGTTGCCATGTCTAAAATATCTTCCAAATCTGCAATCAAATATGGGGTGGTCCACCAAATTGGTGATCGGAACTATTTTAGAAACATGGGGACGGCAATTGTGCACAATTTTCCTCCAAGATTTTTGTTGGTACCTTTTATGGTAAAGGAATTAGCCTCCGAGGAGTCTTAGATGCTACTAATACCACGTATAGAATAAACAGCCGCTGTTGAGGGCCCAGAACAAGAGAGGGATAATAAAAAAATCCCCCTCCCCTTTCCTTATCAGCGCACGTACCAAAAATTGCCCTTTTAATAACAAACTAGCGGAGAGAAACTTTCATAGAGAACTTTACACGTTATTTCTTAGACTTAACATTAATTGTCCATTTAATAATCTGCATCCAAACTCCAGGTACACTACCAGCGCATTTTTTTAGCGTCGAGTTGCTAAACGAGACGCTTATGCTTTCTCCCAATCATCCGATCGCTCGCTCGTCCGTCGTTCCACTGTTCGCTCGATGGCTTCATGTCTACCGATTTAAACGAGACCGGATAATCCGATTACGATGGAATGTTGCAGGTTGATTGTTTATCAAATTTACAATTGGTAATGTAGGTCAAAAAATAAGGAAGGCCCTTTTGACATCTCTGTTATGAACCGAATTGCATGAAATTCAAATTGGGCTTAGCTTTAGCGATATAATACGCAATGCTAATAGTGGAGCATAATCGATTCATCATTCACGGTGCCTTTTTAGCGCATTTTTACAAATTTATTTGATAAAGAGTCATGATGCCGACATCTCTCGCATTACAGAATACAGACCTCTTTTATTGCCGACATGTTGAGGGTCAGATTAGGTTCAATTAATGCCCCCCGCGGCATATTCGTTAGCGTCGACTTGTTAGCGGTGGCACCCTGGCGCGATAAATACATCATTTGAATATGCTAACACCAAAATATGCACGAGTAAAGCCACCCTGACTATACATAATCAAAAGTGCCAAAAGGGTGACATTATATTTGATCAAAATGCACTGCGAATGTTGAATCGATTAGGCTCAACTTTTGTATTATGTATTGCTACAGTTATGTCCAATTTGAATTTCATGCAATTCCGTTCATAACTAACGGAGATGTCAAAAGGGCCTTCTTTATTTTTTTGGCAATTGGCACTTTTGATTATGTATCGTCAGGGTACGTTCTAGTGCGGTATCGGAAAAAAGGCCCCTGGAAAAAACCCCGGAATAAAAACCCATGGAAAGAAAACCCCGGAAAAACACCCATGGAAAGAAAGACCCCCTGGTAAAAAACCGGAAGAAAAACCACAGGGAAAAAAAGAAAATATTGCGCGAGAGCTAAAGTTGTATATTGTTTACTGAAACAGGAATATCAAACAGAACTCGGTTGAGATATTCTATTAACCAATTTTCACAATTTTTACAAAATACGTAATTGCATATTATCCTAAACTACCATTAACCCTAATTAAACCTAATAGTATGACTTATAGCTTCTAAGAAGTTTACCACATCTCTTTGTCCGGCGCTGTATTCTTCGCAGATATTTTTTAGTCTACTTTGCAGCAGTAGGTACATATTTTGCTTTCTTCCTTTTTGGGATTAATTGACCTAAATGTTGTTGGTGTAATTTTAAATGAATTTAAAGCATGTTTTCGCAAACGTGATTAAGATCACAATCATTTGTTAATATTTAACAGATGAATAACGTTGGTTTGAGCCCATGTCATTTGGTAAACATCAAAAATCGATCAATCATATAGGTACCATATAATCATTGACTAACTAACACTCTTTGTGAAACCGGGTATAAGTCAATGAACAACGCTTTTTGCAAGCTAATTCAGCACAGGAGTAGGGTACACAGTTCGCACTTTTAAAAATTTTACGAAGGGCCGGTTCCACAATGCAAATATATACCAGGTATAAGCTATTTCAAGTATAAAATCTAAAAATTCAATCCAATTTTCAGATTTTGTACTTGGAATAACTTATACTATAGGTATAATATACTTGCCTTGTACAATCGCCCTAAGATTAACCTACCTATTGCAGAGATTTAAAAAAGGGCGTTATCGATGAATTGCTCCATTATTGGAATTATAAGGATGCATTAATAAAACGTTGAATGTTGCTGTATTGGTATAATTACTATTCCTATAGAAAAACTTAACAATTATAAGAATACAGCAACATTCAACGTTTTATTAAAAAAGGGGGTTTTCATTCCATGGGTTTTTTTTCCGGGGGGTTTCCTTTCCGTGGGTTTTTATTCCGAGGGTTTTTATTCCGGGGTTTTTTTTCACGGGTTTTTTTTCCTGGACTCTAGTTTTAGCATATTCCGCTAACAACTCGAAGCTAACTAAAATGCAGAGGGTTGCGTCCATTGAACCTAATGTGTTGTCTCAAGATGTTGCAGGCATACAAAACAGGTCTGTAATGAGATAGGTTGGCTTCCAGGTTTTTTTATGGAAACATGTAATTGTAACTGAAAGGCATGCTATTTATTTTTCAGAATAAATAGGATTCATATGTTCACGAGCTAATGGCGGGTTATAAAAACCATTACTATTAGATCATTAAGAAATAGCTAATATAGAAACAAAAGCTTGATAGTGAACTACTAAACGCGCCACAAGTAAATAAACATGTAAAAACATTAAAACTATAAAGCAACAAAGCAGGCATTCGATTGGATGTTCGATGTCTGCGTATATTTGAAAATGATGCACAAATAAATGACGCGGGACCACAGACTTCTTTCTGTATATATATTAATTTAGGATGAGGGAAAACCAGACGTGTATTTCAGCTAATGGAAAATGAAATTTTTGGCAATCGAAAGAAAACCGTTACGTATTTTGAAGCTCTGGACCATCGTATTAATTTATTATTAACAGTTTAATCCTTTGCAGATACCTGTGGTGTTTTTAAAAGAAACGCTCTCTTATGTCTACCAATGCAAAATAGGATCTAAGACAGGTATCCCTGCTTTGTTTATAGACAGATATTGTAAAAGCCTAAATGAGAAATTCTTGGAAACAACACAACAACCCTTTTAATAATAAGCTACTCACCTTAAACTCTTCCGGGAACATGCTTGCAGAAACCTAAAATGAATTTAAGTAACTCAAATCATATGCAGCACAGTACAGGAATATAATTTTTATTGAATCTTATAATCACGCAATTATAAAATAATAATTATAATAGTTCGTTGGTGCAGGTCACTCCTACAAAGGCTGTCATGTTAGTCGGTTCATTAAAGAAAGTGTCGTTCACTTAAAACCATGATGGATGACATATAGTTATCAAGATATCACTATAGGTATCGTGCACGTAGATTAATCTTGGTGGTCCTCACAATAATAATCTTTGGCGGCTTCTCCAATTAAAAACATACATGCGAGTACGAGGTCGTGAAACGTTTAAAGTAAATCTGAAAGAATACCGTCTGTAAATCGAGCATTAAATTAATTATCATGTAGTAATACTCAAAACGCAAAAATTAAGGTCTCGTTCTACCTGTAATTATGACGAACGCCAGATCGGTATCGGCTGTCATTGTCATCCAAATCAACCTTTGATAGGTACTAATTAGTTGGACACTGGTAACTTACAACTATTCGTTTCAGTTCGCTGATAGTATCTCGGTAGTTTCAATTGAAGCATTCGTGACTATCCTGGAATGAAAAGGTACATTAGTAATTATTCATTTTCATATTAAGTCAGTCTAATTCAACGGTAGCAGACTCGCATTTGGAGATCTGAAGCTACGTTTAATTAAAAATTAGGTTCTATTTATACAAATTTTTAGTCGCATGAATGGAGTGTAATTTTCAATGGTCACAACTAAAATATGATCAATATTAAAAGGCCATTTACAAAAAAAATGTAACAGTTGTTGCGGATGCTTACGAAAGCGGAATGTTCCTCTTTGTATTTAATATCACCGTTACTGAAAGTATGAGAAGATAAATAGCTGCCGCCTTTCATTTGGCTAATATATTAACTAATCGATCGGTAATGACGCTTAGGATACCAATTAAGGAATTAAAACGATGTAACTGAAGTCTGTTGAATGAAAATGCGGGTACAGTTAAACAATAAATATTGAGCAGTCTTTCCACAAATTGTCCCATAGAAATTTGAAAACTATCCCAAGCACGGTCTTGTTTTATTCGGTCCTGGATGAGAAACTATAAAATTTTTTTGTTTCATATAGTAGGTATAAGAACATACAGATCAAAGAAGAAATCCTTAAAATCGGACCTGTACCTGAAGGTTAAAGGGCAAAAATCTTCATTAACTAGTTTAGATGAGATTTACTCAATTTCCATACACTCAATTTTATAGCATAATTATGTTAAAATGACATTTTAATAGGTTTGAATGAGAAGGTTAAGTCGTTCTTTAACTGTAAGGATAGATAAAGTGGCACTTTAACCGTAAGGGTAGATAAAGTGAAACAAATGATTGTGCATTCTAATGACATTTGCCATTCTATTTCAAATGCACGATAGAAAATGACGTTCAGAACATATGCTATTTTTGACGTCTCTAAGTTAAATTCAGAATTGTCAGAAGCTTTACAATGATTTATATGGCTTCTGCTATAAAATAAAGATTTGTATTATACACCACGATAAAGGGAAACTAACCATCTCGTGAAAGTTAATATCTTTCACTCAATGGTTGAAATATCCCTTTATCGTCTTGTATAATAAATAACTATTGAACGTTTACCCAATGACATCAGAATATAAATAGACAGAATTTTAGAGGTCTGTATTAAGTGTAGAGTATTCCTTCAGATGCACTTATTATAATAAAGTATGTCATGTAACCTGATAGTGATATTCAATTCGCATATCAAAGATAATACCGGAAGTAAAACACCTCTTCAATCGGATTTTTGGGAGGAGAAATATACGGATTATGAATCCAAGAACAAAGAGAGGAATAGGATTAGATTCGGAACGTGGAATGTTAGAACCTTTCTTTAAAGGGAAAAACTAGAAAAGCTAAAAGGAGAAATGGTAAGAACTGATTTGGACCTTATTGGTGTCAGTGAAGTAAAATAGGGTCGATGTGGAGTACATTTCACCTTCTATTATAGTGGAGATAAAAAAGGAAGGAATTGAGTGGCAGTCAAGCGTTACCAAAGTAAAAAACGAGTGCGATAGAATCATACTAATGAAAGTAGTTGCGATACCAAGAACAAGAATAGTCATCCAGGTATATATTTCGACTGATCATGACGATGAAGAAATAGAAAAACTCTCCAACAGAGCTAGAGGGATAATTAGTAAGAAAGGCCCGGGATGCTGTAAGAATGTAATGGGAGATTGGAATGAAAGTGTGGGAAAGGAAGCAGTTACGGGAGTGATTGGAAAATACGGACCCGGAGAAAAGGGGGCTGATTGCATTTTCCAAAGAAAATAATTTGATTTGATTGTTACGGATTGTTACGGATACATGGAGCACCAGGAGACTTTATATTAGCAGAAAGTAGATATAAGAACGGAGAGTAAAGTATAGAGATTAGACTGAAAAGAGTGAGGAAAGCTGCTGTTAGTAGAAGATGGAATTGGAAAAGTTGAAAGAATTGGACAAGGATGAAATATAATGTAAAATGGAAAGCGGAAATAAAAGAACGGACGGAATACCAAATAGGGAAGAAAGTGTGGGGAAACATTGGGAGAGGATAAAGCAAGGTGTAATAAAGGCAATAAAATAAACAAAAATTTAAAAACAAAATTGGCAGAAAGTACATCGGTTTCAGCAAGGGACCAAGAATAAAGAAACCTTGGACAACAACAAAAGTGGTAAATAAGATGGAGGAAATGAGGAAAGCTATATATTTAAGGACATACGAAGGAAAAGGAGCGTACAGAAAACTTAAAACTTAATTAAGATAAAGAAACGGATAAGGCAAGAACAGCATTGTTTGAAGAGGAATGTAGGGAAATCGAAGAACTAGAGAAAGTAGGTAAACATTATGTAATATATAAGAAAGTGAACAACAATAAGTCGGACAGGGAGAAAAAATGTGGAACTATGACAAGGATAGAAATAGAAAACAAGGACCGCAAGTTATTGACAGAAGAAAGCGAAGTATTGGGAAGATGGAAACAATATATGGAGGAATCATATCAAGCAAAGAACAAACTAACACAGCTGGCAGTGGCGAGCATAGAGGAAGTAGAGAATGACATAATCGGGGACAGCATTCTATCAACGGAAGTAATGGCAGTCACAAAAGAAATGAAGGATGGGAAGGCAGCAGGAATCGATAATTTCTCCATAGATTTATTTAAATGTCTGCAAGAAAAAGGAACCAAGGAAATTAAATCTCTTTGTAATACAATTTACGAAGGTGGGATGTGAGGACTTTTCTCTGTTCAGAAATGGTGGTTCTACCTAGAAAGCAAGGTACCTACAAAAAAAGTTCAGAATCAGTCTAGCGTCAAACACAGGCACAGCAAAGATCTCATTGAAAATATTGAATAGAAGGCTTAGCAAAGTTATGGAGGAGAATATAAGAAAGGAGCAGAAGAGGAATGGGCACGAAAGATGCAATAGGAATGGTCAGAACGGTCGGCGAAAGATATTTGGAAAAAGTATAACTTTTGTTGACATTCTAAAGGCATTCGATTGGATAAACTGTGGGAAACTGTTGGAAATACTAAATACGAAAGGTGTCAACTGAAGAGAAAGACGACTAATACGAAACAAAAAGTAAAAATCGAGGGTTGGCTGTACAAAGACGGATTGGTTGATATCGGAAGAGGAGTTAGACAATGATGTTGTGAGTAAAAAGGAACTTGAGATATTTATTGTTAGAAAATATAGATGAAATGAAAACAGAGTATGGCCTAAGAATTAATACGAACAAAACTAAATTAAAAAAATTGGGAGTGCAAGAGAATATAACAGTAATGGTAGACGGGGTGAGGATACAGCACGTGGAAAGATATAAGTACTTAGGTACATAGATAACACACGGTTGGAAAAGCGAAAGAGAAATTAAAACCAGGAAAGCCATGGGAAAACAGATGGACAGCAATGAAAAAAGAAAAAGTTGGAATTTTTTAAATGTGGATATGGCGAATGGTAAACATCAAATCGACGGATAAGATAAGTAATGTAGAAGTATTAAGTGGAATTGGAGAGGAAAGATGTATGTTAAAGATCATAAAGCGAAGGAAAATGAACTGGATTGCATATGTACTAAGAAAGAACTGTTTGTTGAAGGAAGTAATCGAGGGAACTGTTCAGGGAGAAAGGAGAAGAAGAAGAAGGGGATTGGTTGATGACCTGACAGAGGTCTATTCTGTATATTGTCGTTAACAAACGATATCGTAATGGTAACGCTTTGATATTGAACGACAGTTACATTGCACATTATTGTTATATGTTATGTGTCATACATAATATAGATTAGCCGAACGATTGTAACGACATCGTTACGCGTTAGAGAATAGGTCCCAATGTTGTGTTTTAATACTTAAATTCAATCATATGTCAGTTTGGCATCATGGTGGTGAGGAATAAGGATAGCGTTATCGAAGAATGACACAAATTAGTAAGAGAGGAACTTAGTCCATTAGACTAAATTTTCCAAATGATTTTTTAAAAAGAGTTTCTGTACAAATTTATCAAATTTCCTTGGAAATTGTTCCAACCAGTTTTTCAAAGAACTTCTGAAAAGATCGGTAATGCAGAAGATACCCAAAGGATATTATAAAGATTCTACCAGGGATTCTACAAATGTTTTCTAGGGTTTACGAAAAAGTATGCAATATCATTTATGAAAAGATATGAAACAAAATAGTTTAATTTTGTTAGCTACCTCTCTAGTGTGCCCCCTGTTAAATAATTTTATTTCATCACAGGTTCTTTAAGGATTTTTAAAAAATATTCTTTAGTCTATTCTTCATTCTTTTACACAATATTCTTGGACTTTCTTAAGTGATTTATAGGGATTCTCTAACAATTGTGGCAATCATTCTCAAAAAAAGCCCACGATCCCATACCCATACTTTTATCAATTAACATCGTTCGAGGATTCTAAAAGTTTTTAGAAGCGATGTTTAAGAGTTTCCAAGACTTCTCAAAGGCATTAAAAGACTTAATTAATCTGCCAAAGGCTTTGAAAACCTTTAAGTAGTTTTTAGAATCTTTAAAAACCATTTTGAGCTATGAAAACCTTTAACAAACATGGAATAACTCTAAGAACCGAGCATTTAAAGATATTTATGTGTTTTGAGAATCTCTAAGTTTTCAAAAATCTCAACATATGGTCCTTAAGAATTTTGATTTTAGAGACTTTAAATTTATGTGATTCTGTTGGTTCTTTAGGATTTGTGTTGTTTTTGGGAAATTGTAGAAGGATTACCAGGAAAATTCGCCACTGTAGTTTCACTCCTAGAATATACGCCTTCCATACCTATATACCTCCACAGTATTTACCCTCGGAAAATTCGTCTCCGAAATATTCACGCCAGGAAGTTTTGCCTCTAAAAAAAATTTCGCCCATGGAGAATTCGCACGCGCCGGAATACTTTCTCGCCAGAACTTGCTCAAAGAAGGATTCACGTTTCCGAGGGTGAATTTTCTGGGAGCAAATACTCCGTGAACGAATTTTGTTGGGACCGAGAATTCCGGAGGCGAGTTTT